TACACGTTCTTCCAGAGCCGGCGGCCCGTCACGAGCTCGTAGGCGCCCAGCTTCTCCACAGCCTTGTAGATCTTCCACAGGTTAACTGGCGAGGAAGAGGAGGCAGCACTGGGCGCAAAGGCTCCGAGTGGACGCCCCAGGAGTGTGGGAATGGAGGGGAATCTTACTCTGCTTGAAGCCCAGGTGTGGGATTCTCTCGATGGGTGTCCGGCGCTCCTTCATGAACTTGTAGAGGCTCACCAGGAAGGCCTCCTCTTCCTCCTTTTCACCATCCACCTTCAGCCTCTCCTTCTCTTCCTCAGGGCTGCCGGACACCTCTGGCTCCTAGGGGATGGGAAAAACACCCCAGTGGCAGTGGGTAAACTGAGGCAGCAGCCAGGATTGCAAGTAATAACTCCCCCCTTACCCCCATCTTGTTCCCGGGGGGTTTAATGAGCCGCTCACTTCGTTAGCCCGGGCTTTCTGCCAACTCAGTCAAAGCGCCGGAGCCGGGAGCACGCGGAGCATTTTTCCAGGAAAAGCCAAGGGCAGAAATTCTTGCGCTCGCCTCCCCCCCGGCCGCCTCCTCCTCACTCGGCTAAAAATGTTTCGCGTTTGTTTGTTCGGCATTTTCCGGCCTTCTGAAACTCACTGCTATTTTTGGGCAAAAGCGGCCACTCGGCGCCGCCACTTTTGCTTCTCCTCTGGCTTTCTGGACCGAGCGGATCCTGGCACTCCAGAGTGAAGTCCAGCACACGAGAAAGCCAGAATTGCAGCAAAACCACCCGAGTTGGATTTATCTGAGGGCCACCAGCTCTTTTACCCCCAGCCCCGACGTGAAACTTTTGGTTTCTCTTCTGCTTTCTGACAGGAAATTTGGGCCCTCGAAGGTTCACACATACCTCCCTGGCATCCTGCTTTGCCAGGAGGCACTAGAGCCTCCACAGGACAGGGTTAGGGAACCTCCAACTTACTATTTTGAGCATTTTTTGGGGAGGAAGGTTGCTTATTTTTAGAGCGTTTTTCTTTTGGGGGGCTTTTTTTTTGCGGGGAGGGGGGTCCTCCTGGCACTCACCGTTGGCTCCACGGCGGCTTCGTCTGCCTGGCTGTTTTGCTTATCCTCTGGCCGAGCTTGGCCGCCCTCCTCTTCCATGGCTGGATTCAAGCCAGGGGCTGCTCCGGGAATGGGGCAGGGGGAAGGAAAAACAGGATAAACCAGGATGCTGATCCCAAACCACTCAGAAGCGACAGGGATTTTCCACGGCATCACCCAGCCGATTTCGGCTGATGTCGGTGCCCGCTGGGTGATGCCGCGACCGGGTGCCCTTCCCCGCTCCCCTCCCCAACCCCGGCGCCAAATTTTAAGGTTAAAAATACAGATAATTTCCCCCAAACTGGGAAAAGAAGTATTGTTTTAGTCGGGGGAAGAGAGGCAGAGCTCGGGGATCGCCGGGAGGGGTGAACGGGGCCGCCCCGTTACCCCCCCCACCG